GGTTGGTATTGGATTGTATTTCTTGTTATTAATGTTTATCCATTGCCAGTACAAGTTATGTTTTCTAATTAATATTATTATCTCGCAGATAGAGAAAATTTCTAGTAAAAATAGAGGGTACGGGGCAGAGATGACAGTAGTTACTTATTGCCAGAATAGGAAAGAGAGTGATGACAGATCAAAGTTTAGGATTCTTCTTGTAAGTATTTGTCTTACTGTTTTTCAACATAATCTTCATTCGAAGTAGTGATGATTAATTTTTTACTTTCTTAAATTAAGAAAAGAGATAATAGCAGTGATTAAATGAATCTTAAACTTTCTGAACTAAAATTTAAGATGAACGTGTATTCTGCACAAGATCCTCTACTAAATTGGAATCAATATTTAAAAAATCTCAGATTGATTATTGCTGGTGTTTTTGACAGATAATTACTTGTATTCCAGAGTTTTGGACAGCATGGTAGGGAGCTCATTACCACTGAGCTAGCATTGCGGCTCCTCTCTATTTTAAGTGAAGAGGAATTCTTACCCAACATGGACCGTGCTGTATTAAATAAGACTCTTAATAGGCTTGTTATAAAGGTAATGTATATCTATGAATTTATTGCATGTGGAATTTTACATATATGTTATCATTCTATACAACTGCAAAAACCATCATATATTCTTGTTGAATTCTTGCCAATTGTGATTACATATCAGGTTTTCTTTTGTCAATTTCTGGTCTTCCAAGTTGATCTGTATGTGAGTACAGTTTTTGAAGTTTCTAGAAGCTGAGTATTGTTATTTACACGGTGTCTATTACTTATTCATTGGTTTCAAAAACAGCAGATTTCAGTTTCATATATTCACATGTGAAGACTCTTGCAAGTTTGTACACTATTGTATACATATAATTCTTGTTACTATAATTTAAAGTTGAGAACTAATGCTTTCTTCAATACTATTGCATCTTGATCCTTCAGGTTGTACCGATGGAAAATTGGAATGGCCGCAAACTTGTTGAAGCAGGAGAACTGTGTGAGAGAAGAAATGGTAGTCTTGGTTGCTTAAAATTCAACATGTTATTACAAATAGAACTACTGAGATACTCAAAGTTTTGAGTTACCTGCAGGAAGAGGAGTTGATCTCAATCGAAATTGGAGTGTAGACTGGGGCAAGAAGGAGAAGGTTTGTTTATTTCTCTTTTAGGACATTAGAAGGTCCATACAGTTAATATAATATTAGACTGGGCTCTTTGAACTTTGTCCGGCTATATTACAATTGTTATCCGATTATCTTGATATGTTATTGACATAAATTAGTGATTGTGATTCTGTAGAAATTTACATAGATTATGAGACATTATGCTATAGAACTTCTTTATGTTCTGCTATATGTTACTTTTTCCTTGTTCAGAAGTTGCTGTTGTCTCTTAAGATTCTCCATCTTTCTCCAGGATTATGATCCATATGAAGAAAATCCTGGGACTACTCCTTTTAGTGAGCCTGAAACTCAAATAATGCGGAAACTCTCTGTCTCATTCGAACCACATGTTTGGGTTAATGTGCATTCTGGAATGGAGGTGAGTCATACTTCTAAATGCAAATATCATCTCCAATGCAAAATGTTTAATATATACGCAATACATATACATATTCTTCACCCCAAAAGTTTTTTGACCCCTGAAAAATCA